ACACCCAGTGCAATGAATATTGTTAATGTTACCATCTAAGTCTTTCGGCTCCCCAGCGTAAGAGGTAGTCTTTGTCCCCAGTCGAAGTCGAATTTCAAGAGCTTGCCGGAGTAAGGTACCCATTATTCCCCAGTGAAGCGAGTTTGCATTCCCTAGTGGAGCAAGCTTTCTAGAACAAGTGTCATCTTCTCCTCGGTATGGTGCACATGGGAGCACCAGTTATAACTCATTCATCCCGGAATATAACAGATTTTGTTGAGATGTCCGCAGTGGAGTTTCTGTCCTAGGATGTTTGGTTCTTCCCCAGGTGAAGATTTTTACCCCCCAGCGCTGTTATCCCCAGTGTGGTATGAGTAGAATTTTTTGTTTTAAGAATTTCTATACTCCCTAGTAGAAGCTATCTTCGTCAAGATATTTTACGCGAGAAAGTTTTCATCCTCGGCAAAGTTTTCCTCTTTCTAACGGAAAATAAAGAATTTATCCCCCAGGAAGTTGGATGTTTGGTCAGAATTCAAGATTTTCTCTGAAACTGTAATTTATTTTTGCAGTATTACTCCCTAGGAAGTTATTTCTTCAATGTTGTCAATTGTTCGAGGTCGGTGGTTTCGAATCTCGATTTCCCATTTAAGTTCGTATTGCGTGTTCTCTACAGAAGATCAGATGTGCAAGAATAATCATTCGGAAGTTCATCGTCTTCCCAACATCCGATTATTGATGTGATTTCCCCAGTGCATTGCTAAACATGTATCATTACATTGCATCATTACATCGCATCTACTAAAACGCGTAGCATTTCCATTGTATGGAGCATTACGCTATAAAAAAAATTCAAACATGCATGAGTATAAGCCAATTGTGTTCACATGTGGTAACCAGATTGTTATACGCTGACATTTGATTTATCTGCACAATAAGCCTAGGGTGACTCTATTTTGTTTCCCCAGCGAAGTTTGTTTTGATTCACCACCAGTCGGGTCTTTGGTATTTCTCCATCTCCCCAGTAATTTTGTGGTTTGCGCTTGCCTTTGTGAGCCTTTGGTTATTTTACCTATGCTTGCTTTGCCTTGGAGTGCGAATAAGAGTTGGCGTATAGTCTTTCTTATTTCTCAAGTATTTGAGTATCCATACTTGGTGTGTGGTAATTCAAATAATTGCCACTCTTGAAGAATTACACCCCTCCTTTGGCCTGAGGGATTCTGTAGTTCTTGCGTATTTGCAACCTATCAAAAGCCCAACGTGTTTTGGCAATCCTTGTTAGAGTCTGTTTTAACCTGTCTCTTTCTCTTGTAGAGTTCACCTTCGATCGGTGCTCTCTGAAGGTCTTGCTTAGTCGGTTCCTTGTTTCGGTTTATCTGCGTTAGTCGAGTCCTCCTTTCGTTAGCTTAGCTAACCTTTTATGTTAAGAGTCTTTCAGTGTCTCTTCAAAGTCCAGTTGTCTGGCGTCCTTGTTTAGGCGAATATATCCTTTTTATTAGGGCTTTCTTCGATTAGACTCATTCCTGTGTTCACTATCAACTCTAAATATTTGTTTCTTGATGTTCAATTCCACTCCTGCATATCTAACTCTAACCAGACTTGCATACCTTTTTCTTTTAAAACCCCGCTTCAGCTGGTATCTTTCAAAATCCCGCTTCGGCTGGTATCTTTCAAAATCCCGCTTCGGCTGGTATCTTTCAAAATCCCGCTTCGGCTGGTATCTTTCAAAATCCCTCTTCGGCTGGTATCTTTCAAAATCCCGCTTCGACTGGTATCTTTCAAAATCCCTCTTCGGCTGGTATCTTTCAAAATCCCGCTTCGGCTGGTATCTTTCAAAATCCCGCTTCGGCTGGTATCTTTCAAAATCTCGCTTCGGCTGGTATCTTTTAAAATCCCGCTTCGGCTGGTATCTTTTAAAATCCCACTTCGGTTGGTATCTTTCAAAATCCCGCTTTGGCTGGTATCTTTTAAAATCCCGCTTTGGTTGGTATCTTTCAAAATCCCGCTTCGGCTGGTACCCTTTGTTAAAAATCCCGCTTTGGTTGGTATCTTTCAAAATCCCGCTTCGGTTGGTATCTTTCAAAATCCCGCTTCGGCTGGTATCTTTCAAAATCCCGCTTTGGCTGGTATCTTTCAAAATCCCGCTTCGGCTGGTATCTTTCAAAATCCCGCTTCGGCTGGTATCTTTCAAAATCCCTTCGGCTGGTATCTTTAAAAATCCCGCTTCGGCTGGTATCTATTAAAATCCCGCTTCGGCTGGTATCTTTCAAAACCCTGCTCCGGCAGGTATCCTTTAAAAAACCCGCTTCGGTCGGTACCCTTTGTTAAAACCCCGCTTCGGCAGGTATCCTTCGCTAAAAATCCTACTTCGGCTGGTATCATTTGTTAAAATCCATCTTCGGCTGATATTATTTGTCAGGAGTCCCACTCGTTTGGTCTCGTTTCTCAGTAAGTTCGCCTTCGATTAGTGTTCCTTCGTCAGAGCCTTCTTCAATCGATCTCTTTCTTGTGTATGTTTAACCTTGACCTGACATCCAAGAGATTTTCTCAGCTAACCACTGCAATAAAAAAATATAACAATACCTAACTGGCTTCGGAGCGCAAATTTTCGGGTTCTTTTAAGTATTTAATCTTCTTCCACCATGAAGGTTCGAAAGGCTGAGGCCAATCTCACCTTTAGGGTGAAGGCGATTAAATAGGGGCAGCTGTTGCACCCCAAAATTTGCCCTCCTAATTTCTTTTATTTTGGCTTAGACTTTTGCATTCATCTGCATCTATTCCATTAGGTCACTAACATGGCATACATTTCATTCAATATAGCTTTGCGGTTCAAAGTTCAGTGGTCGTGTAATATTAGGGTTTCGTAGTAGTTAAGGAGTCCGTACCCAATAAAGGTTGATTTCTTATTCAGGCAGTGAGCAGTGGAATTAGGATTGTGAGTCGTGGTCATTGAGAATTTCTTTCTTCATCAAACTTCCAAAGGCTATTATCCCTTCAATTTTATCAATGCCATAGATTAGGGTTTACTTCCCTATACCAGGTCAAGAGAATCAGGGTTTCTCTTCATTTTGTTCGAGCTTGGTAGTGGTTCTTCAAGGGAGGGTTATCGGACTAAAGTCTCACTTAAAGGCTACATTGAGCACTACTCTTCCCTTATTGAAGGCTCATCATCATCTAAGGACTAATTGCTTTATAAGTTGACTTATTTCCAAGATGCCTAAGGGATTGAATCAAATTTTTCTTCTTTGACAAGCGATTAAGGATTGCTTTGGGTTTTTATCAAGTCCAGATATGTCTTGTTAGTTAAGCTATGGGTCAGGAGCTCATTTAGCTCATTTTATCAAATGAAAGGTGGTTGTTTCAAATGCAAGATGACTAGAATTTATGGATTCAATTGAGATTAAGGTTCATTGACTAAACATGGCATGGAAGTATACTGATTTCATTTTCTTATTGAGCGTTGACTGACTTGATGGCTCATATGTGTTGTAAATTCCATTGGCAAATAATCAAGAAGCATAATTCAAAGTATCGGTTTATGAATCTCTTATGGTCGATTTAAGCATGTAGATTGGAAAGCCCATTTATATGGATATGTTCTACTAGCAAGATATTCAAGTGGATCAATATTTTAAGGTTGCAAGATTCATCCATAATACATAATCTCATTCAAGATTCATTCAAGGTAAACCAAGGAATTTTGAAATAAAAGGCCAAGAAATTTTTGGGTGCATTGATATGGCCATATTGCATAAAGCTTGTATTTGGTGATTGAGTCAAGTCTACATATCATTATGTTTATCTTTGTTAAAGGTTCGAGTTTCGACTATTCAAAAACCATTACAAAGATTCCAATGGCCATTACAAGTTCTGTCCAAATATCCATTCAAGCTTCAAAGTTCACATTTAAAGTTCATATGGATGGCATACAAAGTACAATTGCATGATTACAAGAATTACACAGAACATTTTCATTCAAAAGTTACTTCATGCGAAACTCCAAATTCCAACAAAAGTCTTCGAGCACATCATGTATAAGGCTATAAACTTGTTGCTTCTATGTTGAGCCATCAAACCAATATGTGCAGCTCATTGGCATCTGCGGTACACAAGCTACTGTAGGATATGTCCATCAAAATCTTGCACCGTGCACTATGATTTTAACCTGAAAGACTACAGGAAATCTGCATAACAGATACGTACATACACAAATCAACAGGTTTTCAAAAGTTGAAACAATTTCATAATAAGCGCATATTTTTCAAGACAAATTCAGTGCCTAACATATGGCAGTTGTGTTCATAAAGAGTGTTATTCAGTATACTAATCCAACAGGGTTCATCGATCTAGATTGAAATCAAAAGGCAAGAAGGAAAAGAAGAGAATCGTGAGAATAAAAAATAATGGAATCAGAAACAGAATTACAAACAAACAAATAGTGCCAGCTCATTTCAAGGCCACATAACTAAATTTCAGTTTCAAAAAAATTCTAACTGTAACTAACTTCAATAACCACTTCTAACTGTCACAACCATTCTAAAAAAACCGCTAACTGTTTCTAATTCATCTGAATAAAAATTATAACAGAATCTCTAATAGAACCATATAATCCCATAACAGAAATCCAACTGGGCCAACTGTCGTAGCTTCTGGCTATTAACAGAATTACAAAAGGTCTTAACTGATTTTTTCAATGGATCTAACAGACTACAAATACAGAAACTCACCTTGGTTGAAGGGATGGGGAAGGATCACAGAAAAACTCACAGAAAACTCTCTCTGAAATCTCTCTATAAAACTCTGCTTCCATTCTTCAATCTTGTAGAACAGAGCTTCAATTCTCTTTCTCCCTCTGAAATTCCACCTTCTTCCATCATCATTCTTCATCTTTATCTTCATCCACCAACCTTCATCTTCTCCAATCATGTAGAACCTTCATCGCTTATTGTGGCTTCTTTCTGCACAACTTCATTCAACAAACGTGACTGCATCAGCATCATATTACTGCAACCATTTTCAAATCTTCATCTCAGTTTCATAGAAACTTCGTCTGGGATCTGCAAACTTATATCATCATATTCAACAATTTGCAACCAAAATTTCAATGCACACATCCAATCTTCAATGTTCTCTACATAATAAAACAACATGAGTTCGTGATTGTCGTCACGATTCAACAAGTAATTAGTGGAAACAAGAACGCAGGGGAACAGAGAATCACAGGGGAAGGTTAGAGCGACGAGTTTACCTTCAGATTTCCCGTCTTCACTGCCAATTGAAGAGGCTTCGAACTTCTCTCTAGTAGGTAAGCCGTAAATTCCCAAATCTTTAATATGTTCCCCCTTTTCTACATCGTCTGAAGTGAGGAGATCCAACTGCGAACTCATTTGCATTGCAATTCGTGCTCTTTGTGCTGCACAAACACTAGTTGATATTGAACTGAGATTAATAAGGAGTTGAATTAAAGATAAGGATGAGTTGAACAATGACGAATAATGGCGAAGCCTTGGATGAACGATGTATGACGGCGTGTTCCTCATAGAGGCGACGAAGTGAGATACAAAGACGGTGGTGCAAGGTTGTTTCACTGAAGCAGAAAGTAAAAACCTCTGGCGACACCAGTCATATTCTAAGAAGAATCATTGCGAGTCTGAACAAAGGGAGAGATCGCATGAATCGTGCCGCTGAGTTACAGAGGAAGGGAGAATAGAATTCCTTTGGGAAGTTGGAGAGAAACAAGCGTTTGACCTAGAGCCCTAAACGACACCGTATCTATGCTTTTGCAATCAATTTTGTTTTTTTTTCTACATAATAATAAAGTGATGAAACGGGCTTGCTGGTGGTTGGGCCAAAATCTTAAGGCATGTACTTGTTTTTTTTTTACACAACAATATTGCCTTAGAAATAAATGGATTCATGGGTTTCGCTTCAATGGGCCTAGCACCTCTTTACTACAACTCACCTCATGGATTCCAGTTTGCACCCCCTTGGGCCACTTTTTCTTATTTTTTAGTTTATTTTGAACGATTTTTGATAATTACTTAAATTTGTTTGAACTTTCTTTACATGATAAAAATGATATAAAAAAATAGTAGCATATTTTTTTAGAATATTTTAGTATCTCTCTTTAGGATTTCAATTAGAGTTTTCTACTTTTGTTAATTATGTTTAGTAATCATTTCGCCCGATCTTGTGCTCACTTTTGCTTGTTGAGATCTGGAATCTTATGCAGGTTTATTGTGCGATATGCAAATGCGCTTGAGATTTCGATTGTGATTTATTTTCACATCGATGATGCATCGACATTTATTCCAAGCATTTGATTTCTGATTCTTTTGTTTGATTGGTGAAGTTTTCGCGAAGATCGTCGGGTTTCTTTGTTTTGATAGGCTTTGCTACGAATTGATATTCGTCTGGTATTTTCTCTTGTTTATCTTATTTCAGTACTTTACTGTTTTTTTAGATATCATGAGAAGTAGGAAATAAAGAGCGTGCGCTCGAAGTCGTTATTTAAAGACCTGTAGCAGGCATTCCGCACTTCATTTGCTATATGTGTTGTGCTTGTGTTTGTTTACTTTCTCATTGATCGATGAGTCACTCAGTTTAGAGATTGAGATCACGACTTTGCTCTCGGTGCATGCTCCCTATAGGATTTCATTGCTTTCCTTTATTTTTTGTTGATCGATGAGTCACTCAATTTAGAAATTGAGATCACGACTTCGCTCTCATTGCATGTTTCCCATAGGATAGTTTTGTTAGACTTTATTAGGTAATGGTAGTCCTGATAGGATCTCTAGATATGATCTCTTGAGCTTATTGGCTTACCTGTTTGATTTCATCTTTGTGTGCATGTTTTGAGATGATATACCCTCTGCATGTTCCCTAAAGAGCTCTCGATTCAACTATAGATGGTGATTCGAGATAGACATAGTTTTAGGTGATAGATCCTTGCTATGCTCCTTTAAGACTTCTTGATTCATCCATAGATGATGAGTTGAGATAGACATTAGGATTGTTATCCAAGCATGTCAACTTAGGGTAGAGATTTCCCTTTAAACTCAATCTTAGGATCAATCATTGTATGATAACATTAGGGATAGATTTAGACTAGTCTCCCTTAGATGTTTTTCTTTCTTTTGCATCCATGCATTAAAACAAAAACTTCCTTTTTCTTTGAAAAATATTAAAACATCTAACAACTTCCAAATACTTCTTCAAGGTAAAAGATATCAACCAATGCAAACTCTTTTGCGCCTTCGGGCTTTTCTTTCAAACTCTTTTCAGAAAGAACATGTTAATTCACTTATGTGCTGACGCGTAAGTCTCCAAAGGTCGAGTTGCGGCAGAAGGCGAAGTTAATATTGTTCATTAAAAAATACAAAACAAAAAAAAACATGTCATCCGAACTACGGTAGCTCTGATTCCTCAAAAAGGATACGTAGGCATTGGGGTAGGGCCCAGGCGACCACAATTTTATTTTCCCTACATTCTTTTCCCCTTTCTTTTTCATGCATTCTCCCTTTAGTTGTATAGTAAACAGTAAGCATAGATTAAACACACCCATAAGATAGACAACAAGAGTGGATACCGTAGAGTACTACGGGCGTGTGGGGTGCTAATACCTTCCCCTCGCGTAACAGACTCCCTTACCCGATCTCTCGGTCGCAAGACCATGACTTCTCCCTTCTCAGGTTTTCTCGATGTTTACCTTTCCCTACATGTGGGATAAAAGACGTTCGATGGCGACTTCATTGTTTGATGATTTTCAGCTGGTTGTTTCAATATGCCTTGTCAAAGTTGACCTTTTTTGTAAAATTGTCAAAGTCAAATGGGCTCAAAATTGCATTTTTTGCCAAATGGGCCTAACGTTTTATGCTTGCACCTCACTTATAACATAATCCACGACCCAAATATCCAACCTCATGTTATTTTCTTCACTTTTCAATTTATTTTGATTTTTTGTTAATTAAAATTCAATTAAATCAAATAATTGATGAATAATGGAAAAGATATGTTGTGATCTGATTTTTGGACAGGATTTCAATCAAATAATGCAAGGATATCATGATCAATTCGAATCAAGGCTGATTGATACAAGAAAGGCATAATTTGGCTCAATATAGAAAGTTTACATATGCCATGAAAATCAAATCAAATCTTCAAAACTTTCAAAGATGTGATTTGTTTTTGCAACCCTAATTCACTCTATGATATATATAGGGAACACATCCAAGGCAAGAACAAGGGTTAGAATCGTGGAAGGAGGCATAACAAAACTGCAAAAATTCAAAGAAAAGTGTGAGACATATCTTCTTCCACAGGCCAATTCGAACCATTCTAAGGCTTCTAAACCATTCCTGGGCATCTCAAAAAGCTAATAGCATCGTTTTCCAGTCTTGAAGCATCCAGAATCATCACGTTACGACATCACGGTATGCACAAAAAACTCAAACTCGATTTCAATGTTTTATGCATCCTAAATGCATGTTATCCATATGTTCTTGTTACAAAACCATGATTACAAGCTTTCTGTATAGTTTAATTGTAGTAACAGTGCAGGAATCCAGATTCACCATTGCTAGGGTTTAAGAGCTTGATTTGGGATTTTTTGATATAGTGAAAATTGGACCATGAATGGGGTACCATGACACTTGTGAGACCAAGACGAGTTGATTGGTACCATTACAATTGATTTATATTGCATGTGCAGGATTTTAGAGATGGACAGGGTTGTAGCTACGAACAAATGTTTGTGGGTAAAAGTGTTTTACCTAAAGCAATGATACAAAGAAGAAGATGGTGTGTGTCAAAGCATGGTTGGCCAGTTCAAATTTCGCGCGTGTTTTCATGACTATTAATGTTTTTCTAATATATTATATTTTGGTTATTCATCTCTAGGAGACCATCATACACCCTCAATGCATGTCCACTGGATTGCATGTTGACCAGATCTCACGCCTATCCAATGAAGGACCATGGTGCTCCACAAAGTCAACACCATACCAGATTCAGCACTGACTAGACCTGGAGCTTAATGGGCCACAGATTTTCAGTTCTACACCCCCAAAACTCCTAACAACACAGGCTCATTTCTCAATTTTTTTCTCTTTTTATTATTTTACTTTCTTTATTATTAACTCTTTATTCATTTTATTTTAAAAAAAAATTGATTTCTTTTATATAAAATCATAAAAATCAAGAAGTCATAAAAATTAGAATTAGGTTTATTTTTATTTTTATCAAGTTTAATTAAATTAATTAGCTTATTTAATTTAGGGAAACTTTAACTTGTTTTCATAATTAAAATCAATTAGAAAACTAGGTTTAACTTTTTGATTTAATTATTTTCTTTTCTTCAAACAAACAAAAAAAAACCTAAAATATGAGATTTAATTATTTTTTCTTAAATTGATTAGTAGTTAGGTTCCTTATTTTCTTAAATAACCCAAAAACGACAAAAACAATGATTTTTTCATTAACCAATTGCAATTAGGATTAGTCAAGGGTCAAAACCCTAATTTCTTCCGTATTTAATTTTCCGCGCGCTTGTTATTATTTTTGCCATTATTTTGTAACTGTTTCAAGGTTGTAATAGTTTTAATTAGGATTTTAAATTCCTCTTTTTTTTTTATTTCACGTTAAGGAAATTGTGTAACTGTCAAAGCCATGTAATAGCTAGTTTTATTTCCGCTTTTACTTTCAGCAAACTTTTAGCTGTCTAGATGTATGGCTAATAGGATTGTATGGCAAGAATGCATAAAATTAAAAACAGTTAGAAAACCCTAATGTGCAAAGATTAAAATAACTGAAACAAATCACTCGCACATGTTCACTCATAGGGTTTACCTCACTTTGGTTGCCTTCGGTACACAATCATTAAGCATAGGAGATTTTAGTGGTGGCCCTCCAGTCTAAAAAGATCAAATTGTCCCATTCGAATGTTGCCTCGAAAATGTTGCCTCGGAAACGTCGCCTCGAAAAGATCTTAAGAATCTAGGGTTACTACTAAAGTTTTTTCTAACTATTTCTTTAGTGATTGTATTCGTCCCTTTAGAATGTCCCTTACAAACTCCAACGACGGTGTTACCTACTCCTTAATCGTGGGATAGCGCTGTCTAAAGGAAATAGAACAGAAACAATCTTTTTTTCGAATAGGTAGATTCTAGTAGGTACTTGCTCAAAACAAATCTTTTCACACAAAAAAAATAGTTTTCAAAACAACTTCGTCACATCCTTGAGGACTGATGCAAGGGTTATCACGAAGTAAAATATTTTCAAAGCAAGCACACACACAAGCAATTTGCAAAAGGAGAAAGTACCTAAGAGCCCATAGATAACTACAGATAGAAAGGGTGCTAACACCTTCCCTTTCTATAATGTACCCCCCCGTACTCAGAATATCTCAAAAAAAAGGTTTTTTTCTGTTCTTTTTCCTTCTCCATGATTGGATGAAATAAAACTCGGCGATGACTCTTGCTTACCGCGAAATTTTGCGAACAAAAAAACGCAAAATGAAAACCAGTATAAAATAGTCGGTTCT